TCTCACCACACATTTCCGTGGTGGTGAGATCATCATCATCATCATCTTTGCCAGGACCACTCGATGGTCAGATCAGATCTAAACACATACTCACTCCTGCCAACCCCTCTGAGGGATAGAGATCACCTGAGGAGAATGAGCAGATGCTAAGGATATGCCATGAAGATCTCACAAAGTGACAGCAATAACCACCCATGAACAGGGCCTCATAAGCTCTTTACCTACCCATAGGGAGAATACCAGCTTCTTTTCCAAGAGGAGTAAGGCCTTGAAACAGTACACTTACTCAGATATGCTCAGCTACTCATCTCTCCCAGAGAGGAACTCCTTACTCTTACCAACCTAGGAGATGGTGCTAGAAATCTATCAGAATGGCCAAAATAAAACATAGTGCTAATACCAAATGCTGGCAAGGATGAGAGAAACTGGATCACTCAAACATTGCTGGTGGGAATATAAAATGGTACAGCCATTCTGGAAATGAATATGGCACTTTTTTTACAAAACTAAATATGTGTTTACCATATGACCCAGCAACTGCACTCCTGGGCATGTATCCCAGAAATGAAAACCTTATGTTCACACAAAAATCTGTACAAAAATGTTCACAGCAGCTTTATTTATAATAGCCCCAAACTATAAACAACACAAATGTCCTCCAGTGGGTGAATGGTTTAACAAACTGGTATGTTCATAACATGGAAGACTACTCAGCAGTAAACGGAATGAAGTATTGATACATGCAACAATTTGGATGGAGCTCAAGAGAATTATGCTGAATGAAAAAAGGCAATCCCAAAAGGTGACATGATTTCTTTTATATAACATTCTTGAAATGACAAAATAATAGAGACAGAGAACAGATTAGTGGTTGCCAGAGGGAAGAGAGGGGAGGGGGAGGGAGTTGGCTGTGGTTATAGAAGGGTAGCACAAGGGATCCCTGTGATGGAACTGTTCTGTATCTTTGAATATGGTAGCGGTTACATGAGTCTACATGGGATAAAATTTCATAGAACTAAATAAACATATACATGAAGGGCTGAAGGTAAAACTGGTAAAATCTGAATAAGGTCAGTGCATTGTATTAACAGAAACACAAGGCTAGTTTAACAACAAAAAAACAATCAATGTAATTGACCATATTAGAAGATTAAAAAAGAAAAACACATACGATCATTTCAAAAGATGCCAAAAAAAATTTGACAAAATCCAACATCCATTTCCAATAAAAACTCTCATCAAACAAGGAATAGAAGAGAAGTCTGTCAAGCTGATAAAGGGCAGCTATAAAAAATTTATACTTAGGAAGAAAGCACTCCCCCTAAGATCAGGAACAAGGAAAAGATGTCCACTCTCACCATTTAAATTCATCGTTGCACTGGGTGTTCTCGCTGGTGCAATGAGGCAAGAAAAAGAGAGTAAACACATACTGACTGGAAAGACAGAAATAAAAACTATACTTATTCACAAATAACATGATTATTTATGTAGAAAATCCTAGAGAATCTACAAAAAAGCTACTGGGACTAAGAAGTTAAGTTTTGCAAGATTACCAGATATAAGATCACTAAACATAAATTAATTGTATTTCTATGTACTATCTACAAACAATTTAAAATTAAAATTTAAAAATAGCTTAATTTAAATAGCATCAAAAATATGAAATACAGAGGATAAATCTGACAAGAGATGCATAAGACCTGTATACTAAACACTACAAAACGATGCTGACAAAAATTAAAGTCCCACGCAAATAGAGAGCTTTACTGTGCTCATGTATTGGATGACACAGTACTATCTACATAAGTTCTCTGCATACTGATGTAGATTCAACTCAATCCCAATCAAAATCCCAGCAGCCTTTTTTTGTGAAAATTGCCAAGCTGATTCTAAAATCCATATGGAAATGTAAAGAATCGAGAATAACTATAACAACTTGGAAAAAGAAAAAATGTTGGAGGATTTATACCAGCTGAGTTCCAGACTTAATATAAAGCTACAGTAATCAAGACTATGTGGTATTGGCATCAAGACAGAGCAAGAGAGGAGTGGAAAAAAAAGAGTCCAGATACAGGCCCATATACATGCAGGTCAAGTGATTCACCACAAAGGTACATAGATAATCCAGCAAAGACAGGGTTATCTTTGCAATAAATGGAGCTGGAAAAACTGGGTGTCTGTATGCAAAAAAACGTACTTAAATCCAGATCTGGTATCAAATATAAAAAGTTACTCAAAATAGGTTATAGACCTAAAAGTAAAATAAAAATTATAAAACTTCTAAAAGAAAAAATATATGAAAACCTTTTTGACTTAGTTTAGGCAAAGATTTCTTAAATACATCACCAAAAGTGCAATTCATGAGAGAAAAAATTGAAACTTGGACTTCAAAATTAAGACTTTCTCTTTGAAAGACACTATTAAGAGAATGAAAAGAAAGCCACACAGAAAATATTTATAAATCAAATAAATGATAAAGACTTTTATACAGAATATATGAAAAACTTTCAAAACTCAATAATAAAAAAAAATAAGAAACCAATTTTTTAAATGGGCAAAAGATTTGAAAAGACACTTCACTAAAGAAGATATCCAGATGGCAAATAAGCACATAAAAAGATTCCCAACATCATCAGTCATTAGGAAAATGTCAAGTAAAACCACAGTGAGATGCTACTACACAGCCATGAGAATGTCTAAAATTAAAATAATAATACCAAGTGTTGACAAAGATGTGTTGCATCTGGAACTGGCATACACTGCTGGTGGGAATATGAAATGGTACAGCCACTTTGGAAAACAATTTGTGAGTTTCCTAAAAAGTTAAATATATACTGTATCATACAACCCAGCCATTCCAGTCCCAAGTATTTGTCCAAAAGAAATGAAAACATACGTCCAAAGAATTGTCATGAATGTTCATATAGGCTTTACTTGTATTCGTCAAACACTGGGGACTACCCAAATGTCTCTCAACAGGTGAATGGTTAAAGAAATTGTGATCTAGCTATATAATGAAATACTACTCAGCAATAAAAAAATGAACTATTGATACATATAACATTATGGATGAAACTCAAAATAATCATGTTGAGTGAAAGAATCCAGTATGTATTCTGTATGATTCAATATACATAAATTCTAGAAAATGCAAACAAATCCATAACGATAGAAAGCAGATCAGTGATTGCCTAGGTAGGGGAGGAGAGGGAGGTGAGGGAGGGGTGGGAGGTAGCGATTACAATGAGACACAACGAGACTTCAAGGTGATAGGTATTCTCGGTATTTGGATTGTGGTGATGGTTTCGTGGCTGTATACATATGTCAAAACTTACCAAATTTTTCACTTTAAATACATGCAGGTTATTATACTTTAGTAATATCCCTTATAATGATCCCTTACTTATTATACCATAATAATACCTTATAGCATAATAACACTTTTATATTTTACCATAATTATACCTTATATAATAATTCTTTTTTCAAAAAGACAAAAGCAGAGTTTGCTGTAAAGTACAAGTCCAGATATATGGTTGTATTTAGAAGAAAAAAAATAACAAAACAAAAATAAAATGCCAGTAATGTGAAAAAAAAAAAGAATGAAAAAAGATAAATCAGGCAAAAATTTATCCTTGTATCCCAAAATTCACATAATATTAATTCCAGTTGGATTAAAGACCTAAACGTTTCCAGAATTTATATGGAATTTCTACAAATCAATAACAGAAAGAAACAGCCCAATTTAAAAGTAGGTGTTTCCTTGAGCAGTCAAATCAGAGAAGGAAACACCAGTGGCTGATCAGCTTGGGAAAGATGTTCATGCTCACGGGAGAGCAAGTGAAACTCTATGAGATTCACCCCAAACCGAAGAGGGGAAAAATGAGGTCTGACGATACCTAAATCAATACTGACAACAATACTGTCGACACTGACAATACCAGTGTTGGTGAGGTGTGGAACAAGAGCTCTCATCACTGTTGGGGGGCATGTGAAGTGGCCTACCAGCCCCGGAACACAACGTGGTGTAACCTAGTCAGGTTGAGTCTACACATGCCTATGAACCAGCTACTGCATCCTGGGCATGCATCTTGAGAGAAACTCGCATGTGTTTCCAAGGAAGTAACAAGAATATACAGTAGCAACATTATTTAATAGCCAAAAATTGGAAATAACTTAAATGTCCAAAAGAAAGGAAGTGACAATTCAACTGCATTAAAATAGAAATATTCCTATAATGGAATCATGTAACAGTTTTAAAAAGTATAAACTAAACCTACGCACTTTAACATGAATGAATCTCACATAAAGTCAGTGAACAGTCATGTTCCAGAAGGAAGTGTACAATATACTATGTGCAGAGAAGTTTACAAACATGCAAAACAACACTTCTACGGCTGAAGGACCCATTGAGTAGGAAAAAGGATGAAGGCAGTCACGGGCATGCTACTGCAGAAACGGAATTCCCAGGGGCAGGTGGAGGAGCAGGACACAACCAGGAAGGTACGGGGCTGTCACCAGGTCTTACAACATTCTATTTCTCAGGCTGCAGGCTGGCACACTGGCACTCACATAATTCTCCACACCTTGTTGTAATCTTAAATAATCCATCATAAAATAAAAGAAACAAATTGGAGTTTATGGGGTAGAATCGATGTACAAAAAAGTTATCAGGTTAAGAACAGAAACTGCAGTCTCTAGCAGGTGCCACTGACTTAGTCTCAGAGGCAAATGCTATGTTGAAGATCAGGCCGACCAACAAAAGCCCAGGAACGGGGAGATCCTAGATGCGCTGGAGAGGGGACGCCAGGTGAGCGGAGGGAGGCTCCCTGGGGGAGGAGGGTGGCGGACGCCAGAGAAGCCCTGTCTAGGGTGAGCACGATGGCATGAAGGGAGGCCTGGAGAAGCCTTCCTCCCTAGGAGCTCTCAGGCGCTCCTCCTTCCTCACCTGCTGAGGACCCTACTGCCCTCTCCTTGTGCGCCCACTGCTTCCCACTCACCTGGACAAAGGTCCAGCAGACGTTCGCTCTCCTCTCTCCAGGGCTCGTCCTCTTGCTCCAGTTGTGTGATGAGTTTGGGTTTGGAAAAGGCAATTCCTTTTGGGAATTGAAACAGGGAAAGAAACTGAGGTGACCTTGGGTTAGAGGCTTAAGAGGCTATCAGAGCACTCAGAGTCAACGAGGGAATGCAATAATCCAGAAGTGGGTTGGGAAGCATGGAGGGGCAGCAAAGGCTCTCTGAACGCTGAGAAAGGATGTCTAAGGAGTGGGGGTATCCTGGATCTAAAGGCAGTGTACTGATTCTCCCCTGTGCTCGAGTGAATATAAATACTCCCCCATTTGAAGCAAGATCACTTCAGAGGAGGAGCGCGGCCTGGGGAGAAGCCTGAAAATGCAGTGTCAGACACCACACACACACACACAACTTCATTATTTTCAACTCTATAGAATCCAGACGCTCTCTGGGGGTATAGGGAAAATACGTTTTTCTTTCTGAGCCAAAAGCATGACAGCTGCTACATAAAATCTTAAGACGCCCACAGGCAGAGTCTCAGACCCGAGACAGGCCATCCTTACCCAGTGACACCAAGTGGCTGTAGTTCTCCAGCATTACATCCCGATACAGGGTCCTCTGAGCAGGGCTCAGGAGCTTCCACTCCTTCTGGGTGAAGGCCACAGCCACGTCCCTGAAGGCCATTAATGCCTGTAACACAAACACATCCCTGCTCACCCAGGAGCCAGCCATGCCCACCAGTCAACTCAGCCTTAGCCACCAACCAGGGCTGAGGCAGCAAGAAGGCTGGCGTGGGGTATCCAGGTGAGATCCATAGATCCTGCTTTTAACCTGAACCCTGGTGCCATGTGTTCAAGACTATTAATCCCCTTCACATATTGCTGGTGGGTCTGTCTTGGGGTTCTCTATTCTGTTCTATTGATCTCTACATCCACAACACTGTCAAAAACACAGTTTTGATTACCTAAGCTATATAGTAGGTCTTGAAATCAGGTAGACTGATTCCTCTCACATTATTCTTCATTTTAAAGGTTATTTTAGCTATTCTAGGGCATGTGCCTTTCCATACACATTTTAGAATAATCTTGTCTATATCTACCAAAAAAACTTTGCTGGAATTTTGACAAGATTTGCGTTAAACCTGTCTATCAATTTGGGGAGAACTAACATCTTCACTATGTTGACTCTTCAAATCCATGGACATGATATGTCTCTCCATTTATTGAGATGTTCTTTGATTTCTTTCATTAGCATTTTGTGGTTTTCAGCATGCAAATCCTATATATGTTTTGTTGAATTGACACCTAAGAATTTCTTCATTTTTTTTTTTTAGTGATTTTTAATGGTATTGTATTTTTAGTTTTAGTGACATTTTCATTGCTATGATACAGAAATACAATTGTCTGTATGTTTATCTTGACTCCTGCAACCTGGCTGAACTCACTTACTAGGTCTAGGGGTTTTTTTTCTCCTAGGTTCCTTGAGATTTTTTACACAAACAATCATATTGTCTGCATATAGGGACAGTTTTATTTCTTCCTTTATAATCTGTATGCATTTTATTTCATTTTCCCGCCTTATTGTAGAACTTCTAGCACAATAATGAGTAAGAGGGGTGAGAGCAGACATCCTTGCCCTGTTCTTGATACGAGGAAGAAAGCATTATGTCTCACAGCATTAAGAATACTGTTCTACAATGAGATAACACATCCCATCCATTCGGAGAGCTATCACCAAAGAAATGGAAAACAACAAGTCTGGGCAGGGTGTGGAGAAATTGCAACCTTTGTGCATTGCTGGCTGGAAAAGTAACATGGTGCAGTTTCTGTGGAAAAGAGTTCAGTGAAAGTTCCTCAAAAAGTTAAACATACAATTTACCATATGATCCAGCAATTCCACTCCTAGGAATTGAAAGCAGGGACTCAAACAGATACTTGTACACCAATGTCCATAACAGCATTATAACACACAACTCATTATAACACAATAACTCAAAGGTGGAAACAATCCAAATGTCCATCAATAGATAAAGAAAATGTATAGTAATATGCACACAATTGTGTACTATTTGGCCTTAAAAAGGAAAGAAATTGTCATACATGCTACATCAGAGATTAGCCTTGAAAACATTATGCTCAGTGAAATAAGCCAGTCACAAAAAGACAAATATTGTTTGATTCTACTTGCAGGAGGTACCTAGAATAGGCAAAGTCATGGGGACAGAAAGTAAAATAGAGGTTACCAGCAGCTGGGGGAGTGGGGAATGGGAGTTAGTGTTAACGGATATAGAGTTTCCGTTTGGGAAGATAAAATAGTTCTGGAAATGGATGGTGACAATGGTGGCACAACACTGTGAATGCACTTAATGCCACTCAACCGTACACTTCAAAATCGTTAAAATGGTAAATTTTATGTTGTGTATATGTTAACGATAAAAAAAAGAATGTTAGCTACAGATTTTTTGTGGATGTCCCTAATCAAGTAGAGGAGTTCCCCTCTGTTCCTATTGGTTAAGATTTTTTTCCCCACAAATAGTTGTTGAATTCTATCAAATGCTTTTACTGCATCAACTGATATAATCATGTGGTTTTTCTTCTTTAGGCTGTTAATATGGTGGATTACACTCATTGAGTCAAACATAGAACCAGTCCTGCATCCCTGGAGTAAACTGTACTTGGTACAGTACAGTTTGGTAATGGTGGTACTGGTGTATAATTATATTTATATATTGTTGAATTCAATTTGCTAATATTTTGTTAAGGATTTACATGTCTATATTCATGAGATATTGATCTATTTTCGTTTCTACTGTCCTTGTCTGGTTTGGGTAATACCTTGTCTGGATTGGTATCAGGGTAATACCTACTCCATAAAGTAAATTGGAAAGTGTTCCCCCCTCTTCTATTTTCTGTAAGAAATTATGTAGCATTGGTGTTAAGTCGTCTTTAAACATTTGGCAGAATTCTACAGTAAAATCACCTGGGCCTACAGATTTCTTCTGTGGGAGTTTTTAAATTACAAATTGGACTTCCTTAATAGTTATAGGGCTATTCAAATTATCCATTCCACATTGGGTGTGTTAAGGTAGTTTGTATTTTTCAAGGAATTGGTCCATTTCATTTAAGCTGTTAAATTTATGGGTGTAGAGCTGTTTATAATATTCTCTTATTATTCTTTTGATGGCTACAGAGTATACAGGTATATCCCTTGTTTCATTCCTGATACTGGTAATTTGTGTCTACTCTTTTTCTTAGTCTTGCTAGAGGTTTGTCAACTTTATTGTTTTCAAAGCAGCAGCTCTGTTTCACTGATTTTCTATTTTTGTTTCTCAATTTCATTGATTTCTGCCTTTACCACTATTATTTCCTTCTATTTGTTTCCTTTGAGTTTTTTGCACTTATTTTTCTAGGTTCTTGAGGCAGAAGCTTAGATTATTGACTTGAGACTGTGCCTCTTTTCTAACATACGCTTTTAGTGTTACAGGTTTGCCTCTTGGGACTTCTTTAGCTGCATCCCATATACTCTGATATACTGGATTTTCCTTTTCATTCACTTTCATGATTGTTTTTATTTCCCTTGAGGCTTCATTTTTGGTGCATGGATCATTGAGAAGTATGTTGCTTATTTTCCAAGTGTTTGGCGATTTTTCTGTTAACTTTCTCTTACTGATTTCAAGTTCGATTCCATTGTGGTCAGAGAATCTGTATAATTTCAATTCTTTTCATTTGTTAGAGTAAACAAACTTTTATGTTTTGTGTTGTATTATGTATGTATTCTGATTTATGGCCCAGGATATGTCTATCTTGGTATATGTGTCCACTGGCACTTGAAAAGCATGTGCACTCTGTTATTGTTGGGTGGAATGGTCTATAAATATTGATTCAATTCTGTTGGTTGATGGTATTGATGAGTTCCTACTGATTTTTGGTCTAATTATTCTATCGATCATATAGAGAAGGGTGTTGAAGTCTCAATTAATTGTTGATTTGTCTATTTCTCCATTCAGTTTTCCTTTCACATATTTTAAAGCTGTTATTTGATGTAAGCACAATGCGGATCTCTAATCTTCCTGGTGAGCTGACCCATTTATCACCCTCTCTGTCTGGTAACCTTCTTTGCTTTGAAGTCTACCTTACCTGACATGAATACAGCCACTCTTCTTTCTTTTGATTAATGTTTGCATGATGTGTCTTTTTAAACCCTTTTACTTTTAACCTGCCTACACTGTAGTATTCAAAGTGAGTTTCATTTAGACAGGATATAGGGTTTCTTTAATCCACTGTGTCAGTCTCTCTTTTTAGCTGGCCTATTGAGACCACTTTATTTTGTTCGTTTTCTTTGCTTTTTGCTTCTCAGTTTTCTTACTATTGACTTCTTGTGGGTTATTTGAACTTTTCAGAATTCCATTTTGATTTATCTAGTGTTTTCTAGTAGATCTCTTTGTATAGCTTTTTTAGCGGTTGCTCTAGGTGCTACATTACATATACATAACTTATCAGTGTACTGGGGACGTTATCGTACCAGTTTGAATGAAGTATAGAAACTTTACGTCCCATACATCCTCTCCCCTTCCTGTTTAAAATATAATTCTCTCCTCCTTCCAGAGCTGCAAGGGCACAAATGTTAGATATTTTGTTATACTCCCACAGTTCTTAACTCTATTCATTCTCTTCCCAGTATATTTTCTCCCTGTTGTATAGAATGCATAACTTCTATTGTTCTGTCTTCTAGTTCACTGATTTCTCTGTTCCCTCTGATCTGCTGGTAAGCCCATCTACTACTGAGCCTTTTCTTTCAGGTATGTATTTTTCAATTGTAATATTTCCATATATGTAATCGCAATATCTTCTATTTCTTTGCAGAGGCTTTCTAATTTTTCATTTATCTCCAGTGTGTTCTTTTGGCTGTGGATACCCAGTTGTCCGAGCACCATTTGTATAAAGACTGTACTTTTCCAATTGAATGGTCTTGGCAACCTTGTCAAAAATCAATTGACCGTATATGTGAGGGTTTTTTTTTTTCTGGGTTCTCAATTCTATTCCATTGATCTATATGTCTAACCTTCTACCAGGACAACACTGTTTTCGTTACTGTCGCTTTGTACTTAGCATTGAAATCAGGCAGTGTGAGTCCTCCAACTTTGTTTTTGTTTTTTTCCGCTAAGATTCTTTTTTTTTCCCCCCAAAGCCCCAGTACATAGTTGTCTGTCATAGCTGCACATCCTTCTAGTTGCTGTATGTGGGATGCGGCCTCAGCATGGCTGGAGGAGTGGTGCCTCGGTGCGCACCCGGGATCCGAACCCGGGCCGCCGGCAGCGGAGAGCACGCACTCAACTGCTAAGCCACGGGGCCGGCCCTCCGCTAAGATTCTTTTGGCTATTCAGGTTCCTGTGAGATTCCAAATGGATTTTAGGATAGGCTTTTCTATTTCTGTAATAAACAAAAATGGGATTTTGATAGGAATTGTATTGAATCTACAGATCACTTTGGGTAGTACTGTCATCTTAGCAATATGAAGTCTTCTAAACCATAAGCCTGGGAGGTCTTTCCATTAATTTAGGTCTTCCTTAATTTCCTCCAGCAATGTTTTGTAGTTTTCAGTGAAGAAGTCTTTTGCCTCCTTGGTTAAATTTATTGCTGAGTATTTTATTCTTCTTGATGCTGTTGTAAATGGAATTTTAAAGAATACTT